ATGGATATTGATAGATAAGTTTGGTCATAGATGTGATCCATTAAGTAAGGGCTTGACAACGAGGTTTACTCAATGCACATGCCGCACAGCAATAAGGTAATCTGCAGCGTCAAGTTAGGTCGCAATGCCAATTAATAATCCAGACTTTAGGGGCTTGGTAAGTGAGGGTGGTGTATACGTGTTGTCAAAGGCTTGAAGCAAAGTGTAGAACAATGCCTGGAAAGTAGCATGGATACTGTGGCAAAGATGGTGTGAAATCACTGAAACAGGTATATAAGGTAAGGATCCCACGGAGCAAGAGTGACACTGATAGGATCCGAGGAGAAAGGATTGCGGATTAAACAGCAGCCTTTGAGCAACACTCCCGGCACAGTGGGTGGGATGAGGAAACCAGCGGGGAGTGTGAATAGATTTCAAATAGGTGTAGATAAACAAGTAGGAAATTGTGATATTAAAGGGGTTATACAAGGATATAGGATAGGTGAATAGCCCAGGACAGGAGAGATACCACAAATGTTTAGCCCACATTTGGTCAAAGGATCAACTTTACTTGTCTCCTTGTCGAGTTGTAGTGTGGCGTTATGAATAACAAGGCTCACTGACGATGCCGACTACCATTCCAGCAAAACGTCTGAGAATGTACCACGTCCACGGTCCGACTCTGGATATTCTTATGCATACTATGGACTCCGGACAATGTGCGTTCCTCTGGGTCTTCATGCCAATATGACCAAGTTGCTAAAACGAGGTCAAACAACTTTTCATGATAAGCTTCATTCTCAGTCACTGGTACTGCTAGTCGTAGTCATAGTGGTGTGGGGAGAGTTATATTTCATAACATTAACTTAATGTGCCGATTTGTAGAGATTTCCATTTAAGAGAAAATATAAAAAATGTCTTGTTTCAGAGTTGCTATAAGCAAGTTATCTGTTAGGTAATTAGTCTTCTTGGAAAATCTTTTAAAAATACCTATCTGAATGAAATTTTGTCAAAGGGAATGACATTGTCTGTATGATTAATATTATGGTAAAGATCATCCTTTTTATTATTTTTCCTTAGTTTTGGTTATGCATGCTGACTGCACGTTTCGGTAGCATAGGTATACTTGATTCATAACTAATAAAATTAAAATAAACATATTGGCACTCTATATAAATTGCAAATTTAATTAAGATGATGTGTTCTCAATTTGATATGATTTATCAAAAATACTTCCGCATATAACAATGGAAGTAGCGACTGTTTTTCAGTTTTTTATCGCAAAATATATTTTTTAGAATGAAATATGGACAATAGAGTTAGGGGATTTGTTTACTTTTAAAAGAGTTCATTAAGGCTAAAACGGTCCATAAATATTGACTATTCGTAAATCAGACTAAGCGAAGAATAGACACCACTTACTGAAAGTTAAGACAACGATATTATTGAGGTTCTGAATGAATGAGTCAAATGGACAATATTTGATAAAGATGGAACTTTTCAATTGATTATTTACATCAAGAAAAGTTAGCTTAAGGCGCCAATGGAAATTGGGCGCAAATATAGCTAGTCTGCAGTTACCCTTTTCTTACAAAGCAGCATTACTATACATATATATTCATACACTTATCTCAATCTCGATAAAAAATAAAAAATAAGCATAGAGCCATTTCTATAAGCTCTTCCTCCACTTTTCTAAATTAAATCTTTTGTAAAAATTTCTTTGCCGCTGACAAGGCATGGCTAAGTGATTTCTATTTTTTATATTCTTGGTCAATTCTCTATTAAAATGGGAGTTGAATCACTTTAGCCTGTTATTAAAGCGATCCACTCTTTTAACTGTGTGAACGATCGGAAATCTATTTTTTAAATCACTAAGATTTAAACGATGCCAACAGCGATAGCATTTTTAAAGAGTATGATAGTGCTTCTATTTTTAACTTATGACTGTGCCAAGATAAAGCTAGAATAAAATACTTATAACTGTATTAATGCAATAATTGCCTATTTCAAATCATGCCTCAACTGGTTGTTATCTTATATACTTTGCCCTTGTTTTATATTATTTTAAAGTAAGCGTTTAAGAATTGATTAATTTAGTCTTTTATAGTCATAAAATAAACATTTTCATGGAATTAGGAATAGAAAAATAATTGAGTAATTACCCACTAAATTGGAACTATAAATGCATTTCCAAAGTCATCATCCGCTAGTGATGTCCTAGCCGAACAGGAGTTACTAAATCATGGGATTTACTGGAGTCTTACTACTTATCTAATTTGGCTAACGTAGAGGCTCAAATACATATAAGCTCGGAACTTCATCTGCTCAACTCTGTAACAAAAGCTGAATTAAGTTAAAGAATCAGTTGATAAAATTCTCTAAATTACGGAATTCAAGACACAAAACTTAAGTAAAGAAGATGGGTATCCATAATAGTGTATTTATGAATAATGTACATCAAACACGAATCCATATCGAGCTGTCTTAATAGATTAGTCGAACAATCATGCAGTAATAGTCACAAGGCAAATAAACTGCTAAAATACCGGGTTCAGAATACATTAATTTTGGATTAAATCTCAGTATTTTCAGCATTATCCTGGATAACTTTATTTTTGCCCCTGAAAATCAGGAGAGGCCTAGATAGTTCGCTAGCTTATTTGAACAAGAGCTGAAAGTAAAATATCAGTTTGATATAATAATTATATTTCTATATGCTTTTGTATAATTTATTATGTTTTGAGATTACACATAGCTTTTGTAATATATTTTAGCTGAGCTACGTGATTTTGTATGCACCTGGTGGTGTCTTCAAATTATTTGACATTTGCTTTCCTTATGCTCATTTTCTCGGACTATGTCTTGGGTTGGGGATAGTCTATCCTCATTAAAGGGACATATTTCCTATATTTCGAGAGAATTTCTAGCTGAAGGCACAGCTGAAACTTTTGGTTAGCAATGTGCCATAACCTAACATAATTAGACACAGAAGCCAAGCTTAAAATCGCCACTGACAGGATTTCAGAATTAGAATTGCAATTACAGGCATACAAAACAGAAGTATTACTTCCTTTAAGCTTTATTTATTAGATTTCATCTCTTAAACAAATCAATGAAGATTTATCTGTGCAACTAGAATCTGCTGACCTTAGGATTCGCCATATAAAGAACGAGTACAGCAAAGTTGTAAAGGAAAGAGATGTAATCTTTATTTTTTAATCTTTTAAATAGGACATTATTGCTAGACTTTCTGAACAGGTAGAAACTGAGAGAGGAGAGCCTGAGGGTCAGCCCGAAGCCAGCAACAGGCAACTTACATCTCTAAAAAAAACAACTCAAGAACTTACTTCTGAGACAAAATCTTGCGATAAAAACAGTTTAACAAACGTGGATGTTTGCCTAGGTTTGTTAATTTACAATAGTTAATTGCATGTTTGTATGCCTTCACTTTTTATTATTGTCTTAACTTATCTTATATATCATAGACTTATGAATATATTGAACCTAAGTGTTATCGAATCATTTTTGTCGCTTGTTCAGATTTTGTCAGCGAAGACCATGCGATTCCTTATCCGGATGAGGAGTTTGAAAATTATAATAATACTTCGTGGGAAGATCTTCAGTCTGAGGTTGCTCGACTTCGGGGAGAGCTAGCTCAGTGGAAGCAGCGGGCAAAAGCAAAACATAAGAAACAGGTATGCTTATTACTGTTATACTGATAATGCCTATGGCATTGTCTAAAGAAAACTACGAAACTTTTCAAAGTTTATTTATTCATCTTTTTGCACAAAATTTCCTTAGTTTTTGTAAACAGGCCTTTCACAGTTTAAACATTCGAGCCCAATTTACTCAATGCTTTTTATGTACTTTCCTTAGAGTGGATCTGAACTTGAATCTAAAAATGTCGAGCTCAACAAAGAAATTCAAGTGAGCTTTATAATTTATTTACTAATATGCCTTTATGTTGTTAATTGTCTCCACTTTGTACCTATTACATGATCTATGTACCTGTCTGCGAATCATATTGTGGCATTCGCTTTTTAATATTTCTTTTCCATACTACCCATACGAAAACATGGCCCTGTAAATTTGTTTTTTCGTAATGTTGATAATTAATATTATTGGTCGTGAAATATTTTGGCAGGATTTCTAAGCATCACTATATACCTATTATTTTAGAACTTGTTACGCATATTTAGCCTTACATTATATTTCGTATTCTCTTTTCAGACAGATTGATAATTTTCGGCTTATTACGCATTCGACGCACCTTAATGCTAAAGTTTCCCCCCACTTTTATAGAACATTATTTTTTGAGTCTATTTCCAAATTACTTACGCCTTTGCATTAGGATCATCAGACTGACAGCCAAATACTATCAGCAAAATTGAATATCGCCCTTTTGACCAGCAGGAAGGACACAAATAGCTTATTCAATTTCGGCTCATCCACTGTTCTTGACTGCTTTGTTTACTAGAACATTCAGTACCTTGGAGTTACGCACCTATTTCTATCAAAACTAAATTGGGCTTAATATTAGTCATACATTTATGCTATTAACCCGCCATTATCAAATTAACCTGTGTATATCATTACTTTTTCTCATTGTTTATTCCCTACACGTATTTTTATTTGTTAATTTACTGTCGCCTGCCTTTGTCAGACTCTTGCCTCTTACATATGCAAAACTCTAACGAATGACATTGGCAAGCTATTAAGAAATATTTTTCAATAGGCTTATCTCTAGACTTTTACGCAGATAACTATTGGTATAATATGCAATTTTTTCCTTTTGTTCTATTGTCTGTTATAATCGAATTTGAAGGTCTTTATACTCTATGTTATCAGTGCGTCATATTAAATTTACTAGATGTTAGATTTAGA